TCGACTTGGAAAGGAAATTTGATTACACTTCGTTTGTTTTGAAGCCTTTTCGTCCAGCTTTCATTAATTTAATTTATAAGTACTGTTTCAAATTCTAATGTGCAGTGTTAAGTTGTCAAAGACATTTGCAAATAATTCAAATTACCCTTTTTAAAGCACTTTCTGCGATGAAAACTTGGAATTTCACGAGATATGAGAAAGGTGATATGCAAATTAGAAGCAATCGTTCCGAAACAAATTAAAATTTTAAATGATACGTTGTGTGTTTTAAACAAAGACATTTTTCAATTCTTCAAAGAGGAATAAAATATATGGTAATATATGGAATTTTTAGTTTCCGCTTGAGACTAATGCATGATTGGAATTTTAGAATATGAATAATTTAATATTAATTTTTAAAACTTTAAAGTTAATCAAGCAATTTTCAATGTTTAGTTAACCTTTTGAACAATTAAATAAACTGATAGGAATTTACAGAAATTTATTTTAATGTCAGTTAATAAAACATGTCATTAAATCACACTAGAAGGCCCAGTTAGATATAGTTTTGCACTATCGCGTTCAAGCTAATTTTGGTCCAAACTTTTGCTACCACAAGATAACGAAATATTCATATGTATCTAATCAGACTGGTATTAAAATTAGACTAAGACAAAGCTTCAACCAGAAAAATTAATTAGACTAAGCTTAAGCCAGAAAAAAAACTAGACGAAGCATCAGCCGGAAAAAACATTTTATTCTGTCAGAATCAAACTTATGATTAAAAAAAAAAGTCGCACTATAATACAGACTGAAAAAAAAAAACTAAATTTCAGTCAGAATATGACAAGCAATATATCATTTAGAAGGGAGCAAATTATAATTCAGCCAGAAGTAGCCAAATTAGGTTTATGCACGAATTAAGATTCGGTTAAACTAAGACAAACAGTCGGAATCACGGCCAGAATTTAAAGGTTGGAATAGAAATAGACAAGCTATAAAGGTTAAATAAGCTATAATTTAGTCACATGGAAACAAATTAAAATTCAGTCAGAAAGAGCCAAATTATGTTTTGACATAATTAAGATTCAATCACAATAAAACAAACGGTCGGAATCACTGCCAGAATCTAAAGGCTATACTTAAAGTATAGTTTGATCTGGAGAAAAAAAACAATTTTCATCAAAATCAAATGAAATTATGATTCAATCAGAAAAGACAAAACCCCGATTTCATCAAAATCGAAATAAACTCTGATTCTGTCAGCAGTAGATACGTTATGATTTAATTATAAAACAAGAGCAAGAAATAAATATCAATAAAATGTATTAATGTCAATGAAAGGCTGTTTGAAATAAATTAAAGTAATGCAAAATGTGATTTTTTTTAAATAATTATTAGACCTAATTTATTCCTTCCTGCTGTTTAATTTGGTATGCATACTAGCTGCATAAATTAGAATAGAAATTAAGAAGTTGAAAATTCTGCAAAATAAAATTCCACGTTTACTTTCTTCTAATTTTTTTATTAAAAAAACTAAATTCCACAAAATAAAAAATATATTTTCTGCAAATAATAAGTCAATACGATTATTAATAATTATTAGACTTAGAAATATATTAATTCTTTTCCGATTTTTTTAGCATGCATACACACTTTACATAAATTAGAACGCAAACTTGAAGGTAAAAAAATTCTTCATAGTCAAATCGTATTATAAAATTTACTATTTTTTAAGAAGTAAACTAATTACCACAAGTAAAAAATATCTATTTTGTAGTTTTATAAACAATACGGCGATACGTTTCTTTAATAACTTATTAGACTTAAACATTTATTAATTGTTTTTGACAGTTTTATTTTGCAGGCATTCTAACTACATAAATTCGAAGGTTTGAAAATTGTTCGTAATAAAGTTTCACGATTACATTACACAATTAAAAATAAAAATAAAAACTAATTACTACAAGTGAAAAAAATATCTATTTGATAAGCAATACTTCAAAATAAAAAAGAAGCGAAAAATTACCATTAATAATACTATTATTATATGGCTGTTTGATATTGTTTTTGTTGTACCGTCAGAAAAAAAAACTGTTTACATTGAAACAATTTTAGAAGTTAGGCGAAAACTTTCCATACAGAACATGACGTGTGCTAAAGGAAGATAAAACTCCTAAACCAGACGACGAACTTAAGCCTTTAACACTTCGATTACTCACCAACAGCAAACAACAAAAAAAAAGTTCTTTTAGTTTCTTTTCTTTCACCAAACGATATCTAATTCCTTGCGCCCAGGGACAAACGCTCCAAGCTGTGTGACACAGAAATTCTCTTCGGGAAATGGTAGAAATTGAAACGAATCGATGCTGGCGAAGAAACAAGGAATACCAAACATGTTGAAAATAATTTTTTACCAGTTTGGGGACATTGCTTAAGGAAAGATCAGAAAGAGGCAGTTGAGCTTGAAGATAAATGAAATACCAACGATCAATGCTGCGTAGAACTTATTTCTTTTTCGTTTCTATATATAGAAATAATACATATCTTGAATTATAAGAGATTTGATTGATGTCCCTGTGGACTAGTTGTGTGATTCTGGGCATTTTCCATTTACTAACAGATGAGTATGTCGGATTTAATTTGTAAAATGGGAGTTGGGGACATGACTTTGTATTTTTATTCTGTAAGAAGAAAACCAATCCTTTTCGAACGTAAATAATAAAAGAGTTTTATGTTTCGTGTAGGCGGAAGTACATAAATCAATAATAAATGCAATTCAGAACATAAGTTAAAAAGAGAGAGTGGAAAATAAAGAGCAACATTCTTATTCGAAAACCGAAAAACTCAAAAAGTTTTTTTCGGAAACGATATTTTATTTATTAATTCCAGAAGCAGTGTTTTTTTCGTTCGATCTAACCATGAGCAATGAGCCAAGTGTATTTCTTTATGGATGAATATATTTAGCTATTTATTCGGATTGAAATTTTTTTGCAAAATTACTCAATTGGAGATGGCATCAGAACTTAAAATTTATGATTTTAAGAATTTATTGAGATTACATAGATATATATAGTTCATAGTTGGATACTTTGTCATTTAGCTCTTTTGTGGGTCTTCGTCCCCCTAATCTTTCTATACTGCCTCCGGCAGTACGCATACAACACCAACCATGGCTATAAGCACCTATCCCCAATCTTTCAGGTCTCTATCTTTTAACTCCATGCAATTTTAAACCCGGTCAGACGACGAAAACAGCTCTTGAGTTTGTGCTATTTTCTCCATACTTCCATATTCCAAACAATCAGAGGATATTCAGATTTAACGTGAAACTTGCTGTGTATTCCCTCCTGTTTACTATTCTACGAGGATCGAACTTGCAATCCCCAGCTCTCTACCTGTGGTGTGAGCGATGCCATAACCGATTGCACCAGTGGAGCTCTTGCCTTCCGCTGCATTGTTTTAAAATTTCCAGTGCTTCTTTTAAATATAATAGAATTAATTCAAGTTGAAATAGTTAAACCTAATCAAACATAATAACCATTAGATCATGAATACACCTTCGACCTAAAAAAGAGATAGAAAGCTAAATGTGTCACTATATCTAAACCGGGAAACTGTCAGTATCGGTTAGATGTAAACGAAGTAAAGAAAGGTAAAGATATTTTCATCCAAACCACCGAACACTCTTTTTTTTCCAAAAATTGCTCAGAAAAAATGCCTACCATGCTTTACTAAACACGATTGCTAATTTTTCAACTGTCTTATATTGCTAATTTTTCAACTGTCTTTCAACTGTCTTATAAGTTATAAAAATAAGAAAATCGAGGTATTTTGACAGTTAAGAAATGTTATTGATTTGCAATAAATATTTAATTTTTTAAACTGTCTGTTAATAATATTTTTAAAATAAAATGAATGCGAACGTTCAAACATTTTGTTTGCTTTAAACACAAGTGTTTTGTACTGTTTAATTTTTTCAGGGCAGTAAAATGCAATTATTGCTAGAGAGCACCAGAATTTTTGAAAAATTTAATCTAATTAAAAAAAATTGACTTAATTATCTAAATCATATGTTACGCGAAATAGTGGCTTCAAAGAACTTCGATATAAATTTGTATTGAAGTAATTAAAGTAATCTTAGAATCAAGGGTTGAATCACTTTTCAGTATCAGAGAAGTAGACGGAAAATTAATAATTGTTCTAGTTAAATCGTATGTAACAATATCTTAAATTGTAGTTCCGAGATTTGAAATTGCTCTATTCAAAAGAACGTTTCGAGAAGCCTGAATCAAAATAGGTATTCTAAGAATTAAACATAAAACGCATTTTCTATTTTTAGTAGATTTGGTGAGTAAAATTGTAAATTAACTTACATAGAACGACGTTCTAAAAATGGAAGGTTTGCTTAACGTTTGGTTACTTTACTTTGATAACGGTTTGTTTCGAAGTTCTTTTTACAAGAACTTGGAACTAAAGCCAAGTTCTTTTAATAGAACTTCGAAATAAACCGTTATAAAAGTAAGCTCACGCCAGTTCACATCAAGCACACTTTACATTTTTTCAGAGCACCGTTCTATGTAAATTAATAGCTGATCTATTTAAATTATATGTCCCGTTACATTGTATTGTCAATCCAAAATTTAAAATAAATTCAATTATACATCTATATTAGAGTAAACAATATAAGAAATAAAGGTTAAGCACACTTCCTTTTATTATTAGAGAATCGCGAGGGGGAAAATGCAAGTTAACGAGTCTTCTATCTAAAACATCGAATTGTGACTCCACAATTTTAAATCATTCAGTTAAAAAAGAACTTCAATATAAATCGGTATAGAAGCAAGTAAAGTAATCTAAGAACCAAACGTCAAGCACACTTTCCACTTTCACATAATCGTAGAGAGGAAGAAAAAACTAGTCTCAGCCAAACACAGCTGATAATGTCACTCCATTTATCCAATTGCCACATCTGAAGCTATAAAGAAGAAGTAAAAAAAATCAAGAAGTTTGAAGCTTACTCTGTTCGCAGAGATCTCCTTCGTAATCTGTAGTCCTGCAGTCACAAATGGGGCCCCCATCTGTGGAAATGCACGATCCACCATTTAAGCAAGGATTGCTCAGTTCACAATGATCGTGGACCGTCACCGTTTCTTCCCCATCTTGGCTGCTCATCAGATTGTTGGAGGAAGAGGAGGATCGAATGCCTTGTGACTCTTGAAGATCTTGCTGCTTAAGGACACCGTCATCGCTGGTGAAAATGACATCTTTAACTGCTCCCTGGAACCTGCAAGACATAGAGGAGAATTGCAGTTCAAAAGGAAGTGTCCATTTTTGCGCTAACTTCTGTCAACAAATGTTATCACTGTTGACCTCCTGTTGTTGTTTTTGTCATAAAATTTTTTTTGTTTCATTATGTATAGGGTTGTTGTACCAATCCTCAATTTATATTAGGAAACATGTTCTTTATTTGGTCTCGCCTTTTACTAATTTAAAATAATGTTTACGTCCAAAAAATTTTCTAACTTGTTAACACGTTAATGAAACTATCTTAACATTAAACATTGATGCATATATTTTCGTGTGTTTAATGTGTAGTAATTGGGGAAAAATATTAGAACATTACGCAGAACTTCTTAAACTCTACAATATACAGGGTATCTCAAGAAGTCATTTTATAGGAAAACACATGTTTAATTCAAAATTGAATTTTTTTTTTATTGAAACCTAATCTGTGTACAATTAAGGAATACATATGAAATAAAATATGGGATTTTGTGGGCACATATGTACAATCGAAAATTTCTATTTTTTTTCTTCGAAACTTTCAATGATTATTTTACATAAAGAGCTTAATGGGTGAACTAGGTAAGTGATATTTTCAGGAAAATTTATTAACAGGAAAAACAACATAAAAACATTAGTTTTCTGTTGTTCATATGTACAAGAGTACCGAGAAAAAAAATAATACTTAGTAATGCCAAACGCAAAAGCTTAAACATTTGCTGAACTTCGATAATTGAATGGAATTTTACAAAAAAAAAAATAATGTGAATTCAATTTTAATAAAAGCAGACACAGTTTTAAAAAATATAGAATTAATTTTTTTTAATTGTACGATATTTACTTTAAATTTTGACAAATTACAAATTCTGAAGAAAAGAAAACAGATAACTACATTTCCATGCATTAACGACCTATTTATTTTTTAACCCATTAAAGACTAATGATTTTTAAGAAATCGTAAAGATAAACAATATTTAAGTCATAACAAAAATTATCTAAAACTATTTAATCATTAAATTCGTTAAGTCTTAGCATTTTTATTTCTTTCTTATAATTCCCATTCCATTTAGAATAAATAAATTTCATAAACCGTGTTATAATTCCATGGAATTCAAATCTCTGTTAGAATTCCGGTTTTGAATATTTATTCCTTTCAGTGAGAAAAATTAAAACGTCTTTCAAACTTTATTTGAATTCTAAAATTTCATTTTTGAGTTAATCGGATTTAAAATAGTTAACTTTAACCATTCCTTAATTAAAAAAGAGAGTTCGTGCGGTTAAAAGCTTTAACAGTTATCGCGTTATTCAAATGCAATTTAAATATTTATTTGATTACTGTATAAATCGTTATTTATTTTATTTTATTCATGAAAAGTAGTTATTAATTTCGCAGTTTCCCTATTTCAGCTTTCATATGAAGAAAAAAATCAGATATAAAAAGTCGAATCTTTTGAATTACTGAGAAATATTTCATTTAGATCAATTAATTAAATGTGATCTAAAACGTAAAATCTGATGAATCCTCACAGGTAATTGTCATAGGAGATAGGAATAGTAAAAACTTTTTATCTCACGCTATTGTTTTGAAAATAAAAATACCTATCTTTGGAAAAGCAAATAAGGGAAGAAAAAGAGAAAAAAGCAGACCTTAAATCTACAAACGTAAGAGCTATTAGAAAGGAAGAACTTTTCTTTTTTCATTTCTTTTGTTCAGAAAATAAAGGTAGTTAATTTTAGGAACGCAAAAAAATCCAAATCCAGGTGGATTCTGATCTAAATTACATAATTTCATGAAGAGAAAATCTTTTATAATCTAATAAAATTAAAAAAAGTTAATTTTTAGTTTTTTTAAGGTTAAGTTTTCCAAAAGTTTAGTGTCCCGAAAGTTTAGTTTCCTAAAATAAAACAGTTTTTTTTTACGGGAAAAAAAATGAAAAATTTAAAATTCAAAGAAATGAGAATCAAGAGATGTAAGAGTAGCAAAGAGAGAAAACCTTTTATTTCTTACTACAAATCAGAATTTTTTTTTTAATTTTTTTAGAAACAAAAAAAAAATCAGATTTAAATTTCACAATTGTAAAAAGTGAAAACCTTTTATCTCTTACTTGTATTCAGAATACAAAGTGGTATTTCTTTATAGTCAAATCTAGAAAGATCTGTTGTTTAAATTCAGATTTTGAAAAAATACAAAAAAGAAGAAAAAAATTATTTTACTGTCGTGCAAAAAAAGTTTTTTTTTTTTTTTAAAAAAAAAAAAACAACAACAAAAAAGAGTGATCAAAATTCCAAAATTTGAAGAATTGCACAAGAAGAGAAAACTCTTTTATCTCTTCTTTCAGTTCCATTAGTTTACTTTATTTTTGAAGCAAAAAAAAAAATTCACATCTAATATCCAGACTTTGATGGACTACAAAAAGAGAAAACTTTTGTCTTTCAATTGTTCAGAAAAAAGGTTGTTTTTAAGAAACGAAAGAAAAAGTCTGATCTATAAGACGGAATTGAAAGAAGAGAAAAGCTTTTATTTCTTGTTATTATTCAAAAAAGATGGATATTTTTCAGAACGCCAAAAAGAAAGAAAAAACTTTTAAAAACGTCATTTGTAAATATTTTATAGCTAAAATATATTCAACGGTAATGATTACATTATTATAGTTTATAATGATCAACGTCTTTTCATTTTATTACTTAAATAGTATATTATCTTATATATAACACACACATTTTTAAAGTTAATTTATATTTAATAAATGAAAAACTTACCTTGGCTCAAAAAAAGCAGAGGGTAGAGCCAGCAACGACAATTTAGAGCCATACCAAGATGGAAGGCCTCCAATAAATACGGCGCTATTTGTGGTTGTATTGCCAAATATGTAATCAGGACCGGCAGTAAGACGTTTTTGTACGTCAGCATCAACGGACAATATCGTTTCTTCTGCATTTCTGGTAATCTGAAAATAAAAGTTAAATTATATAATTTATTAAGTAGAACAATAATTAGTTCAAAAAATAAATGTAACTCTTTTTTAAGCTTTTTGAATAAATTATACAGAATTACATTAAAAGTTATAGATTGACTACAAGAGTAAATTCTCTTTCTTTCCTTTAAGTAAAGACCTGGTCTCAACTTTAACAGAGCCGCACTTACTTACACATGTACACACATCCTCACATTCCTTTAACTCGTCCCCCTTTTGTATGTATTTCCAAACTGTAAGTACTGTAAATATTCATTAGTGTTTATTTTCCCATTGTACTTTATTTCTTCCTTTTTCCATGTACTTTTTTATAACTTGAAATTTTGTTAATACCAAATAATGGCTAAGTGTCATTTTTTTTTCCTCTCAAGAACTCCATTTTGCTCCCCAAACTTTATTTTTGTCATGTATGTTTCTTAGTCTAATTTCAGGATGAAGGGGAAAAGGGCCGTAAGGCCTCAGACGCCCAGTTCCACTACAACGAAAGAAAGACTTATTAGTTTCCTTGTGTTCCCTAGGAACAATATGGGTCCTATATATCAGGTGAATCGAAGAATTCTATGTAGGCCCGATGCTAGAAAAATAACGGTCCTTTGAACATTTATTTAGCCTAGATTCGTGAATATGAGGGTCCAAGTTATTTTGCTGCTAGGTTTTTTTTCTTCATATTCTTTAAAAAAAAACTTCTATTGCTCAAAAGCAATTTCTTACATCCTTCAAAGCTGCAATCAACATCAATAATGCAGAATTTACAGCAAAAAAAAAAAATTAATCAACAAGCAAATTCATCTTTAAGTTAAAATTATCTTACAAAATTCATAAAAGAAATCATTAAAAATTTTTAAAAAAAATTGCGAACAATTTCCTGCAGGAGAAAAACTCAAAAAAGGAAAAAAGTGCAATAATTATCAACATCCTAGCTCTGGTTATAAGCCGAATTGCGAACTTTCTAATGCCAACTTTTTGGGGAAAATTTCTTCTAATGGTAGCTAAATTTATGTTTTAATGTATTATTCTTTGTCTTATAAAAGTGATTCAATGTTATTTTCCACAAAAATGCGTGCAAATGATTAAAAAGTTCTTGTGAAGCGCCATTTTGTTCCAGCTCCTTCGTGACGAGACTTTTAAAATGTTGGCAAAATTAAAAATTCTGAAAGCTTTAGCTTTTAATTTCATTCGACTCTATAAATTATTTTTTCGAAAAGCGTATTAGTTAACAGCCCTGTTATAAATTTAGCAGGGCGCCCAATGGTGCCCAAAAATTCTTATTGTTTTAGCATTAAAGCTGTGGAAATTCACCTAATTCAGTAACTACTCAAATGTGATAAAGTTTTACCCCGCCCATAATGTAACTCTATACGTGTTCGAGTTCTTGAATTATTGTAGTTATCAGGACTGTTTCAAGATAACTTTTTAAAAAGACGAATTGAATTTAATGAAAAAAAATTTACACCACTATAACATCTTCAAATCTATTAAATTTTGACTAAGGACGAAGCAATTTAATTAAAATTGGTAGATCAATTTTGAAAAATGTGCATACTTTGGAGCATAATTTTCAAAAATTATGTGCTAAAAATATTCATATATGAGTTAAAAATATTTTCATTTTTTTTTAATGCGGTGGGCTTAAAACTTCAAAACTGATTTTATAAAACAAAATCATGGAATTTTTCCTTTTTCCAGGTTGTGGATAACCTGTATTTGGTGAGGTATCCTTTTTGGGTTCGATCTGAGGAGTAGGGGAGAGTGGGGTCAATTGTAACATTTTTTACTTAACTATTTTTAACTAACAAAAAATCCTATATATTATTAGTATTAATTGACAGACGAGTAAAGTAGACTATCCTCTACTAGAAAAAAAAATAAATACCTGATTTTAAATGTTATTATATTAGTTATTAACAATTTTTGACAGTCGTGCACTTGTTACAATTGTCCCCACTTACGGGGTCAATTGTAACAGTTCATAAATTCAACTAAAACATAGTTAATTATACATATTATCATAGTTGTGATATATTTTTTTATTGATCAAAATAGTAGTGATATTTTAGGAGTAAAAATAATAATGAGCAGAGACCTAAAGGGTTAAACTTTTAACTTTAAGGGGTTAAAAATTTTAATTTATGCTGTGAAAGGTGACAAATAAAATAATGCACATGCAACATAATATAAATGATATAGGAAACTATTGGTGGTTCTTAAAGAGTTAAGTAATGGTTTGTAAACATAAGATTATTTATTTTCAGCTGTTACAATCGTCCCTTTACTTATTGTTACAATTGTCCCCAAGACGCCATTTCAGCTTCATTTGTTAAAAACAATGCTAGTTAATTAGCAAAACTAATCTTTTTTTTTTTGAAATGTTAATTAAAGTGTCCACTTACATATTCGGTTACTAATTTTTATTTGTTTAAACAAAATTACTTTGTTACAATATAATATTCTAATACCAAAAAAAGTACTTGCGTGGCGTGAAAATATCTTTTGTGATGTAACTCTTTCAAAAGTACATAAAAATGATTGCCATCAGGGGTGTACATGTAGATTTATTAAATACACCTTGTGCACCACCTAGGAACCAAATCTAGAACCCGACACTCGAAATTTTTTCTCTTACAATCGTACCCTGTTACAATTGACCCCACTCTCCCCTATAATAATTTTGTGGAACCACTGAATATCCTGCTTTAGTGGTGTCAACTACTAATTCAAAATTTTCTCAGGGTGAATGTTTATTGGGGGTAAATTCATGTTCAACAGAGCGTCGAGTAGTCTTTCAAAATTGTTATGGCTACAGTTAACCTGCTTTGTCCCGAATTTATATATTGAAATGATACAAAAAGTGGTTTTATGGAAAAAGTGATATAATATATTTTCAAAATTAATTGTTTTTTCTAATGTTAGGGCATTCAAAAAGTCTTTGATAGATCAAAAAGTACTAGCTCTTTGTAATTCTTGATCCACTCAGAAATAACTAAATCATTGTGGTATCTGAGAATCTTTTAATTCACCCAGATAAAAGAAAATGCTGAAAAAAGTTTCCCACCACAATGAATGTTTTTGAAAAAAGGAACTGTCCTAAATATATGACGCTGGGCGTTAACCGGTTAAGCTATCCAGGGCTACCAACTACTACGCTATTAGCAAAATACTTAATAAAGTGGTAGACATAAAAACTAAAACTCCCAGAATTTCTGGCAATCTTGCCAATATTTTAAAACCCTCACCACGAGAGAGCTGGAATGAAGTGCGTTAACTTGCACAGAAGCCGAATCTGTTGGCATCTCTGTAAAGAATAACAAGAACTTATTTTACTCCTTGCAAAAACCAGCTATTATTGAATAGTTATACTCTCTTTCTATTTATTCCTTCTCCAGTTTTTTTTTCTTCCTTTTTTCCGTCTTACTTTCAAGCCTATAGTTAGTGCTTATATAAAACTAAATCGTTTACTTGAAGAATCAATTAAAAAAAAAATGATTTTGCAATTTTAAAAAAAAAACTGCGTTTTTCATCACATTTACTTTTTGCTTGAAGTTTGGGGAACTCAGTGCTAAAAGAGTTAAACATACGAAGAACTAAAAAAAGGTTTTTGCTGCAAGCGAGAAATAAAGTTTGGACTCTATTTTTCAATGGATTTCTTCACGCCCAAAACTTGCGTGTGGAAGAAAGCTGAATAACTAGCAATTGTAAGATTTATTCTTAAGTTAACTCTCTTTTAAAAAATATAAGTTTCAAGCGAAGTCTTTCATTCAAGTTATTAAACAAAATCGAACAAAACAAAAACTTAGAAAAGGGAAAGCTGTTCTATGAAAATGTTAGTAATTTCGATTCTTAAGCGTTAATAGCGTCGAACGTTTTCAGAGTTTTCATGCGAGTAAAGCCTCCACACGGTTTTTTATAGGTAGTCCGATCAGACCACTGTGAAGGATATCCACTTTCCAAACGAGTCACTTAATACAAAATCTAGTTAAAGTAAGAAAGTGGTAGCAAATATATGACTAAAAATTTATTTTATTTATGAATATTATTGGTTTGCCTTATTCACTTGTCAACCACTACAGATTCAATTCTCAAATATATAAGATAAATTTCTCTCAATTACTTTCATAAAAGGTTTTGGGTTCATGCGCACAACTGGTTCACTTTTTAAGCAGTTTGCGCGGACTACTTATAAAAGACCGTGTGGAGGCTTTTTGATGTAGAAGATGATGGTACAATACGTATGATGCGTCAAGGTAATGTAGATTAGACCTTAAACAAATTTAGAATACTTGTGTTAAGTTTGTTTAAAATAATAAGGAAACTCTAAGGTGAAATCTTAATAATTTGTAGCTAATTGATTATAATTGCATGGTTCGAATGAACTGATAGGTAGTTAAAAATTTGTGTTAAGTGCGCAAAATAAAAAATGAGACTTTTGAATAACTTTGTATTTAATAATCAGTTTTTCACGTACAAAGGACCAATCTAAATCATTCCAGAGCCAAACCTTAACTATGCCAAATAGTTGAACAGGTTATATTTAAAAGTTTTACAAAGATGTGTTTTCAAAATTTCTTTTCTAAATAAATTTCAACCAATTCCGTTGATAATTTGAATTTTGATACATGACTTAAAAATATGTACAAATATGTATACCTTACAATTTAAATTTTTGTCCATTATTAAATTAAATAAGAATTATTTATGAATAATAATTTTTTACTCTTTAGATATCTTTCTATCTTTGAATAAACGTGTTTTGTTGCAGTGTGCAATAAGGTTTTGATTCGCTTAAATAGTTCAAATGGAGTGAAGTATATCTTTGAATAAACGGGTTTTATTATTGTGAGCAAAAGCTTTTGATTTTTTTAAATAGTTAAAAAAATATGAAATATGTAAATAAAACTGATATTTAGGGTTCTCAATTTTGACTGTTCTACAAACTAAACAATTAGAATCCTTTATCCCTGATAGTAGACATCTTTCTATTTTAAGAGAATCATCCGAAAATAATACATGTTTATTCAAAGCAAGTAAGTTTTTGTGATTGATTTCGTAACTTGAACTATCGTTGAAAATAATTAATACGTTATGTCAAGTCAATCTCTCAAAGCATAACATTGAATTTTTATATTGATAAATTCACTTACTCGATCAGAAATTATTCAGATATTCTATATTATATTTTGTTACAAGTACATCAGTGAGCAAAAAAAACCGGACCACCTTGAATAACTTTTGATCTAATGATCATATTTTCACGTTCTAAAATTTAATCTCAATGATTCGAGAAGGTGACCTCAAATATAATTAATAAGTGCAGACGATATTTTAAGTTACGAAATCAGACACAAAAACGTGCTTTCTCTGAATAAACATAACTCTTTTTGACGGACTGGATTTTTGATTCCCAAAATATAAGGGGTAGCCGCAATTTGGGAAATATGGTCCCAATAGTTTGGTCAGAAGAGCACTCCAAAGTTTGTACACCTTAAACTTAATTTTACTTTTTTGAGGATTTCGCTATATCCTGAAAACTTTTTAATCTGATTGAAAAAATTTATACACAATTTTAAAATTAATTTGTCCAAAGGCGATTCTATGCAAAAAATAATTTTTAGTAAATATTTATTATTTATCATAATTTTATTTAATAATTATAAAAAAACATTTTGAATTGTAATGCATGCAATTTCATTATACTATTTTAAAGAATGTAATTTTACATGACAAAATACAAAATTGAAGAATACAAACAGCCCCCGTTGTAAGCACAAATGTCATGAACTCTATTTATAAACTCAATAAAATAACTTCCTCCCACTATGTATCTTTTACGAAAATATATACTTGAAGAAAGTGATACCTACAAACTAAGTTAAAATGTTTCTTATATGAAGCTTTGTGTAGGAGTACAGGTTTCAACTTAAAAAGAGAAATTATATCGTTGAGACGAAATGAAAGTTCATCTGACGCCCACTCAAACTTAGTTTTTCCTCATCTACGGTGTTCTTAAATTTTTTCCTTAAATCAAAAAAGGATATTTTAAATTTATTTTAGCTGAGATCATGAAAACGGAGAAAGTAATGTGCAAATGTCAAAATAAATTTCTGTTTGTATAGTTACTAAATAAAGGTTTAAAAAAAAAACTTATTACACCCATTATGGATCTCACAAATTCTAAACTCTAAGATTTAAAAATACGACAACAGTATTTGAAAGAAGGTGAGTTAACTGTCTAAGAAATTATTAAAGTAATTTAACATTAACACGTTGAATGCCACGCTAATTTTACATGGCTTGCCCGTCTGGCCAAATGGTAAATAACTACACACTAAATTTGCAAATACTAGACAGATTTTGCTAGTTTTGTAGCATGACATATCTCTTTCTTTCTCTTTATTTAATTAAAATTGGGTGCCTGGGCCGCGCAGCGGCCCCTAACCCATACCTGCCAACTCTTCCGGATTTTCCGGAAGATTTTATTTTCATATTTAAAGTGGTAGTAAATATATACTATTTTTTCTTTTATAAACTTAATTTTTAAATGATTTTGATCACCACTATTCTTACAAAAGTGAAACACATATATTAATATGCGTTACTATCATGGTTGTCAACTTAAGTTTTTTTAAATGCAACGTATTTGTTTGCTTAAAATTGAAGTTTTAATTCCATTTTAATACCACTGGGGAAAATGATAATGAAAGTGATTAAAAGTTGGCAGGTATGCTAACCCATACATCATGATGTATTTACAAGTTGAATTAAAAAACATTTTGAATTATGCAGCATTTAGGTAGCATTACAATGACATATCTCATCAAAGTGGTGAATTATATAACCCTATGAACTGTTTAGAAATAGTGGTGAATAAAAATCTACTAAATGGAATTTATTAAACCAAGAATCACAATTAATAAACTACCACTTGAAAATATTTATTCGCTGTCCGGAGCAAGTTGACATCTCTGTGTATATAAATAAGACTATTTTCGTGTGTTCATACCTGCCAACTTCTAATCCTTTCGAAGATGACTTTTCCCAGTGGTAGTAAAACGGAATTTAAATTACCATTTTTGGCAGAAAAATTCGCTCTATTTTGAAAAAGATTATACAAACTGCGACAACAGTATTGCGTATTATTATATATGCTTAATTTTTTTAAAAATAGTGGTGATTAAAAAAATTATAAATTGAGCTTATAAATTCAAGGAATTTATAGAAAGCATATATTTTAGTACCACTTTAAATATAGGTCTAAAATTTTACGCCAAATGCGTAAAAGTTGGCAGGTATGTGTGTTCTATACTGCATTAATTTCTTCAAACCATTTCAGTAACGATAATAATATTAAAAAAATTACAAATTTACTGGAATTATGTGTTTCTTATAACCTTGACTTCGCCGGTCACCGGTTACGGAGCTGCGAACAAACTCAGTACCGGTCACCGGTGACCCCCATAGTATTCAACGTGTTAACGGTTGCTTGAAAAAAAAATTTAACTATCAGAAAAGTAAAAATAGTTTCGCATATTTGTAGCTGTACGTCTGGGTAAAATGGAAGAAGAATATATAAATTTGAAAATATTTTTTCTAAATGTTCTGATTGTAGTATCAAAATAATCATTTTATACATTCATTAAAAATAATTTTAAATTGAAATTCACGTAACATGAGTTTCTAAGAATCGAGGAAAGTAGTAACAAAAACGCAAAATAGCGTATATAGTCTATAATAAGTATATGGGCAGTATATAGTCTAATGACATGACCTAATAATATGTTTTAATTAGCTTAAAAAACAAATGTGTATTCAAGAATGCTTATTCAATAGTAGAATTGCTTGAATAAAATTTCATATTTTGATTGATTATCGTGACATATATTACGATAAACGTAGGAAATATATGAATAGATTGTTCATTTAAAATCCTAATAATATACTTTAAAATAAAGCCTACACATATAGAAATTTGTATAATTCAAATAGAATTAAAACAAATTCAAAGATTCTTATATAACTTTCAGTACGAATTGTAAGATGACAGAAAATTTTTAAAACAATTATTTTTATTTTTCATGAATGAAACTCAAAAATTAGGAATGAAGGTAAAAAAATTAAACTTTGTAAATAGAAATCATTTTCGTATTAAAATTTATCATTCCAATTAAAACCTACAACGCGAACTTTACTATAATTTACGTGATCATGTCATTCAACTATGGCATATAATTAATTTTCATGAAATTTGAATTTAAAAAAAATTAATAAAAGTACTAAGTTGCACATTCTTTTAGCGTATGATGAATTGATAGCTTTTCTGTTCATGTCATCGTAACTTGCACTTTTTTAAGAAGTTTGAAATTTCTACAACTAATTTTTTGTTCTGTAGTCACTTGGTTATATTTGATTCGTAAACATTATTTAAAATTATACTATTATTGATATTATTATTGATATATATTATTATTGATAAGTAATAATGTTTACGAATAATTACATTATTCGTAAACATTATTACTTATCAATTACTACAAAAATCACGAAACTACTCAATCACGAAAGCTGCTAAAAAGCATTTATCTTCAAAAAAAATTAAATATATTTAAGACAAATCTTAAGAATACTAAACGCTTGAAACTCGAAAACATTTTAAAGGTATCATTATCATAATGAAAAGAAAGCTGACCTTGCAATTAAAGGGCGCGTAAGAATAACAACATATGTGATGTCACAAATTCTCTCCCCTCCTTCCTTTATAAGAAATTATAAATAGCATGTTTATATAATTTCAATTATTTCAAACAGTAAGGGCGGGATACCCTGGTTGGTAGGCACTGGATCCATGTACAAGAGGTCGTGGGTTCTACCCCCATCGACAGTTTTACCATCTTCGAAAACGTTTGCTTCTTAAGGAAAGATTGCTTACTTAGAGTTAGTATAGAAGTGTCTATATTTTTGTCCAACCCATGTATTTGTATGAACAATTATCCCTTACTAAGACTCCTCAATTCCTATTAGTGGTAGTATATCCACGTTAAAACTAGCAAAGAATGTCATCTTTAAGATACCACTTTCAACAACATTTCATATAAGATCTTTAAGGTTTAGTAGGGCACAGACGCATAGAAATTTTCCTTATACTCTAAAAATATTAAAAATTACATTAAATGATCAAAATTTGTCACATTTTCATTGACGCTATTAAGTTTTCTAAGATTCATGAAACTCTGCTCTAGAAAACATGCAGTGGCATACCCTCCAACTACTACAGAAATTTTGTAGTAGAAATTTTGTCGAAAAAGTTTTTTCTTAGTGGTAGGGAAAAAGTATTGTATTAATATTTTCATGAATTAGATTTTTAAAAAACGAAGACCATCATTACATTCAAATAATTTAAGCAAATATACTTAAGGTTAGATAGACTAACGATCCATTTCAGTTTAGATAAACATTTGACATTGACTTTATAACTTTCACTACCACTCGGAAATTTTTTTTCGAAGAAATCTCGAATGTTGGAGGACATGTAGTATACACATATGTTGTTGCACTTACTTGCATAGAATGCCACCGACTGTCATGAAGATTTTTCCCAGCAGACAAAATAGCCGTCCCACCTCCGAGGTTAAACCTTAACCTCACGTTTCCTTCTACCAACTTGACCTCAAAAAAATCATACGTTCCTCCGTCGTCTGTGTATAAGAGTAATCCATTGGGTTCTCTCGTTCTAAATTTTAGAGAAAGTGTTCCATTGAGCCCAGCGTTCCATCGGGGAAACTGGGCAAAGGAGGTGGGTGACCCGTCTAGAATAAATGCCTGAGTATGCAAAAAGCTCCAGAATTGGCTAATGAAGAACAGCTGGATCAGCCACTGTTTCCATAGACCGTAGGGTGCTGAAAAGCATGTGGTTGTTCTACGATCCATTTCTTAAGATCAGTGCAAGGGAGTTATCTTCATCCTGTAAGAAGAAGAAAAGATGACATAAATAAAAGCACGGAAATAAATTCGAAATGATAATGTAACATTTATCAAAACAGAAAGAAAATTCAATAGTTATGAAGTTCAGGAAATTTCTGTATTTTATCCTTTACAATGTGATGCCTGCAAGTGTGGGTATCTCTATCCTGATTGGTTGCCGGAACGTGATATTTGTTTACGTTTGCAACTGTTCTTTCCATTCTTTAGTTATATTAGCTTACACTATCGAATAAAAAATTTTATATCTGCCACTTTCGGAGATTATATGTAATTAAGTTCAAAATAAAGAGAAAACATGGAAAAAATTACAGAATAATGAAAATAAAACTTATTGAATTTCTTAAGATTTTTCTTTATATATATATATATATATATATATATATATGTATTTCANGAGAAAATAAAATATTCTATATTCTGGTAGCTGTAAACATGATATTATAAACCTTAAAATTATATTAATATACTTTATTAATATATACTACAACTTTTTAATTTTTCAAAAGGCATATGAACCTTGTTAATTATTATTTAACTACAACTTTAAATAAATAGGAAGAACTAAAATTCCAGGTTGGCAGATTTACCCCCATCACTTCAATGTACAAATCTGGGGAATTAATACTGCTGAAATATAAGAATAAATTTCATTTTAAGATCTCAATTAAATATTTATTAAAGTTAAAAATATATAAATCATTCTGGATTAGAAAGTTTATTTTAGCAATGATATCAGTGAATTAATGAATTCTATTACAGCAGACATTAAGAAATTAATTTTAATAAATGCATTTCCAACGAAAAGAAACTATTCTTTAGCTGATTCTGCAAAATTAATTTATTCAAAAATAAAAAGTACTTTACCGCTATGGGATTTAAAATTTCATTTTTAACGAATTCTTCTCGAAAGTCTACCTAATTTATGTTCGCAAAAGAATAACGATAAAAAACAGAATTTTATAATAGATAATCTCATATTCTGTAACTGACCTTACATTTGTTTGAATTAATGAAAAACGTACGATAATAAGGGGATCTTCTTTGTCGAACAAACGTAAAACATTTTTTAAAAAAAAGAATAATAATAACTGAATGTGAAATTAAAACGAATAAGACGATGAAATAAAAAAGAAAGAAAAACTTTCCTAAGAGACCATTTGCAATACCTTAATCACAATTTGCTGTTTGACTTAAAGTACTAACAAGTTCTGAAACCATGGAAACGAGGAAGAGAGCTCAAAGGAAATAGCAAAAGTAAAATAAAAATAGAACGCTTTTTTTTTTCAAAAGACATCTAATTTTCAGTTTCTTCTTATTGAATTTTATTTTTTTCTCGGTATATTCCAAAGGGAATGATTTTTATTAGACGTTTTATTTACTTTGAAACAATTTCTGAGATCTTGAAGAGTTTTAAATTTTTTTTTCGTTAAAAAGAGATGAAAGTTTCTTTTTGTGTGCTCTTTGATTATCAAAATATGCCCTAGAGGGATATTAGATTAAATCAATAATAAATAAAATAAAAGCATTATGTGCAGATTATAGTTCGTAAATTAAGAGAAATTAGTTTGTCGGGAGGGGACATTAAAGATTTTTTTTTAACTCGCAGTGGAATATTAAAATGAAACGATTAATATGCATTAATAACAAAAGTGATCAAAATGGGAATTTAAGCCTAAGGCAAATTTAGATGTGACGATAATTTAGGAATAGACAAGAATATCATTTCACTTTTTAAAAAAATTAAGAAATCGACACAAATTACCTGCGTTTGTAACTATTTTAAAAACAAATAAATGGTATCAATAAGTAAAGAAAAGTTTTTGCATTTTTTATTAATTTTTTATGTTTTTCAGGATGACCTCAATCGGAAAATTTAAAAAATGACGGAGAATTGTTAAAGAAACACATAGTTTTTATTTACAAAAATATATTTTATAAATTAAGGTAAATATGTCTAAAAAGTAAAAGCGATTATTTTAATTCTTATGATTAAAATGAAATCAAAGTTTTTAAAATTTGCAAAAATGTCTAAAAACCACTTTTAAAAAATTTTACGTCTGTTGCCGGAAAATTTTTTGATTGAAATTATTGATGCCACTCAGCACGAAAAACCAGTTACTATTTTTCTTTCTTTTTTTTTAGTCGAGGAAAAGTAGTCGGAATTTCGATTGACGATTCAATCTCTCCAGCAGAAATACCACAATTAATTCGGCTTGATGTTATCAGAAAATGAACATTTTGTTGCAATCAGACACATAAATGCAGTTGACATGTAAGTCATCCAGCTATTCGGCAAAAACCTCAAAGTATTGATAGACTTAAAATTTCGATTTGTGATGAAATTATATATTCTGCAAATCGTGGTCAAGAGGTGATTAAACCTTGTATTGTCATCAACAACAAAGATTTTGTTATAGTTTATGCCATCTAATATTCCGGTAAATGCTCAGAATTTTAACACGTTCACGCTGGGAAAAGTGAAAATACTGGTAAGGGAAAAGAGAAAATACTGATGGAAGAACTATTTCATTATGAGATAACATTCGGGAGGAGTTAATCTATTCTCAACAATACCAGTTCGCTCTAAGGAAATTTAACACGGCAATTCAATTTAAAAATCGCATCCGTTAAAAACAATTGGTAGTTATAGATTTTTATTATTCCCGGAAAAAAACTAAAAAATGAAATTTATTGTTACCAGCTTTTACTCCGGTGCGCTGCCAAGATGAGACAATCTAGCGTGACCCACCGGTGGGTCACCCCGGCGTGAACGTGTTAATTGACAATAAATTCTTATGCGATAACAGAGATGCCAACTGCTCCGGATTCTATTGAATATTTTAAAAAAAGGTAGATAACCATAAATGAAATTTTGTAGATTTGCTGTAAATGTTGTTAACTTTTAAAAAGACTCAACACGGCTAATCTGTCCTAGTCTGTTTCGCTATCTCATTCATACAGTAAATATTTCAACTGTGAGTCGAGATCTTTAGGGTTATCATTCGTTGTGACGTTTATTTAATAAGCCTTTGGATTATTTAGAAAAAGTGATGAATAAAAACCCAATAAATCGAGTTTACTAAACTAAGAATCATATATTAAAACAATACCACTAGAAAATAGTTATTCGCAGCCAAGAGCAAGTTGGCATCGCTGAGATAATACCATCATTTATTCTGCTTGTAGTATTCAGAAGGTGTAAATTTGTATTGTAGTCTGGAAGCCTTATTTATATTTTAAATCGAAACATAAATTTGTATTTGAATCAGGAAGCGCAATTTGCTTCGCAAGTTGGCTTAAATTTATGTTGCATCAGTCTCAGATGTGCAATTGAAATTATAGGATTTATTTAAATCTAAGTAATGAAACAGCACTACCATTTCTCTCTTCTTTGAAAAAATAAAGGAACTGTTCTTTTAAGAGGACGCTAGGCACAGAAGGGTTAATTTTATTTTAATTATTTTTGTTTTGCGCTTTCTCGACAAATTTGAGAGATTTTTAAAATTGTTTACGTATGCATTATTGCGTCAAGTCGTGACAGTCACGGAGGATACTTTACCTCTATCAAAAATAATCTGGAAATGAAATAATTTTCCAAGGTAAACTTTCATGCAGGATTTCTTTCTTGTGACGGTTAATCACTATTTTGCGAAGAATCTACCGTTAAAAACCGTAAAATGAATAATCTAATTTAATGCTTTGAGGTTCAGAGCAGTGACAAAAAGTTTTGAAGTTCTTAATTTTCGAATTCAAATTGAATCAATATAGACTTGTTAACTTTTCCACTCTTTAAAAGGAGATTTTTCTCAAATATTTAAAGTAGTAGCATATTTTATGATTTTATATTTAAATAAAATAATCGTTAATTTTATGATATATATATATATATATATATATAGTGGATGACACGTTAATATGGCGGTCTGATACTCTAAGCCTAAATCAATGGAGCATCAGATTTCAAANACTGTGTTGCCTATATATAAAAGACCTGATAATTATTATGTGATATTTTTAAATGCTTGCTAAATTCGAAGGAATATGCTCTTGTTTGGTTTCAATTTACTATCTCTCCAAATACTGTGGAGATCAAAAAATTTCAAGTTGTCTAGTTTGTTAATTCTTGAATACATCATATCAAAGATTGTATTAAAGCGAAAAGTGACTAAAAATGTTTCTTTACAGTGTAGAAGAGACTGGAATAAGGTTACCAGATTTATAAATCATGATTTGAGAACTAATTAGCGGAGCGTTTTCAAAACATTTTACGATTTGAGGATACCAATATATTTAAGGGAATATTATTTAATATGCGACGAAGATTTTTTTTAATGATGACTAATATCAAGCGCGGAACCAGCTTCAACAAACTTGATTAGATTACTAAGCAGTTGTGGAATATCATATAATATTCTGCATTCGAACACATGTAAAATGAATAAATTAAATAAATTATTAAAATTTGCTTAATTTTTCTGAAATCATTTTAAAACGATCATGGCGCTTTCATCAGTTAGCTTTAGCATTGTATTTTCTAGCTTTTTGTTTGTATTTCCTGAAGAGACAAATTATCTTTTTTTTTCAAACAAAACATGCGTAATTCTAATTTTTTTAAATATTTTATTGCCAGAAAAAATTTATATGTTTTCGGCAAAATTCGAGAAGATTTGAGGACACATTGAAATTTGGGGTCATTAAATTTGGGATCTTCAAAAAGTTTGAAAGTTTTTGAGGGCAATTAATGGGGATTTCAAGGAGTGATCTAAAGATTTGAGGATGTATGGTCACCTTTGATTAGAAGTGGTTGAGTACATAGATTTACATTTATTTCTGTCGCCAACTACTTTAGTTTAAGCAAAGCACTGGACTTTGACTTGAAATAAAAATGTTTATTATTACATATTATGGTCGACAAAGTTGCCAGTCCTTATAATAAAAAAAGAATTAAAATATGTTAATAATAGCAACAATACCAACTACTCC